GTGCCACAAGTTTCATGTATTTTTTTGCATCTGACCATAATTTAAGAGATTCCATAAGTGTCGCAGGTTCTAGGAAGAGTTTCCCCTGTGTAGTGAACACTTGCTCTCCCTCTTGAGCATCCCTGTATCTTTCAATTTTCTGGTGGCTATGTGTTTCACTATCACTCAGTTGGGGTCATTGATGTTGCACAGGTCTTGTTGGTACATGCTGTGCTCTTAGCAGCAGTTCAGGCCTTCATGCTCTTATTGGAGACAATCTGAAGGATTCTGAATCTAGAATTCATATCTTACCACGTGAAGGAACAATCCACCCAATGGACACTGCTCCAGTTTCTGACGATCTGCCATTTCTCTAGTAGACCCTCTTAGAACCTCTGGTTAAGCCCTGTTCTCAAGCTGGCTCCTTCAATGTTTTCTTATTTCAGCATGTGCACTTTGATCTTTTGAACAAGTGAGAGTCCTGTATGTATTGTAGTGCCTTTCTTGTGGAATTAGAACATTAAAGCCTCTAAATAGGGGCACAGGTGGGCATGCCAGGTCTTTAGCTGGTCATGAGGTTTAGAAGTGTGGGTGGGGCTTCTATGCTTTCTATTTTTGTGCCCAACTGCATGTAAGTGAACATTGACCCCTGAAATTCAGAAATCAACATACAGGAAAGGTCCAGTTGTGCCCATTTTTGCATCCTTGTCCTCAAAGCTTGGAAAACTTGACCATCTCCACCTTGTGCTGCATCTTGATCACTGGCCAACTCTTCTTGAGCACAGTCCTGATTCCTGGTGCTGCTTCTTAGATGGACTAGATGCACATGGGGTGTTGCAGGTGAGTGGAGTAAGTCAGGCTCTGTATGGCAATGCAAGGAGAGACGGCAGTCCCTACCATCCCCATATTGCCACCCCAGTCCTTGTTCCTCCAGCCTTGCTTCTCTGTTCCCCCATTCTGTGGAACATACAGCAAGTGAATAAATCCAGGTTCTGATACTAAATGTGGCCACAGAGATTTTCAGAACAAGGTGATAGTATGGAGCTAAATCATCAATTTTGTATATAATTATATACAAATTATATACATATATGTATATATATATATATATATATAGAGAGAGAGAGAGAGAGAGAGAGAGAGAGAGAGAAAATTACATTTAAAAAGTAAGTAGTAAGGAAGGAGCAGAAAGAGTCCTAATTATTGAAGGGTGTTAAGCAATAGCAGAGACAGTCAATTTTATTGAACAAGTCCAGATAGTCCTGCTTATAAACTACTTCCTTCACAAAGTGGTGGAAGAGGAAAGAAGGCAAAGGACAAAATATCATTTTTACATGGGAATTAGCAATGACAAAGATCCCAACTGAAGTGATTCCTCCTACCTGAACAATTCACCCTCACCTCTTGATTCACTTTTTTAAGTGTTGTGTGCATCACTTTAATTCTTTCCAGTTCTGTCCAAACAGATATCCCATGGGCCACAGCTCACAGTTTTTGCATTCTCTGAAATTCTTTTTCTTATGTTTGTGTTCTCCCTAAGAACCCAGTCAAGGTGGCACTGATACAACCATGTTCTTATTGAAAATGATGGACAGAATTTTCTCCTGATTGGGAGGTCAAGGGACAAGATCTGAATGTGTGAAGGAATTTGTCAAATGGACAATTTATTCTTAGGAAAGGGTTAAGGCACCATCAAATGGGACATTTCCCTGACTTTGCTTGCAACTCTACTCTCAGATGCAATGGTTATCTGTTCCTGCATGTGATTTACAGACATAGAAAAGTTAGGGGTCAGGAACTCTAAGTCTCTGAGGAGACTGGAGGCAAAAGGCATATTCTGGCAATTTCCCTCCCACCAGAGCTGTCCACTGTCCAAATAGGAAATGACCAGCATGAAGGTGGGAGTGCTTTCCTTTGTGAGATAAAAAAGCCAAAGAAACATATTTTTCCATTACTGGAGCCAGATCCCCTCCCCCACTAGAAAAAGCTTTTGTGTCTGCTCTGAAAATAAACAAGTAAGCAAAGCCAGTGGAAGAGACAGGTTTCTGCATGAACAGAAAGAACCTGTGATCCTGACTTGACTCTATCTTTTCTTTGTTGAGCAAAGGTGGCTGCTGCCCTATATAAATCTCTGAGTCCCCTGAGTAAAATGGATTCTACTTTCTATTTCATTTTAGCTACCACTACTATTACATTAAGGTAACAGGGACCTTCCCTCATTTCTAAAAATATTCATCAAAAGGAAAAGGACTATAGCAGTATAGGAACTTTCACTCAACTTTGACTTAATTGGTCACATTGTACTCCTCAGTGGAAATTGATGGCCAGAAGCCACAAGGGCAGGGAAAACAGCTGTATGAATATGTGAGATTAAGGAGGAGTGAATGAGCAAAGCAATGTAAGGATTACTAGAAGAAAGTGAAAAAGCTTCCTGTGATTCCATAATGAAAGTATGTGTTCCAGAAATGTGTCACATCAGAATTGGTAAAAGAACACTACACATATTCAATTCAGTAGAGGAGACTAACTTCTTTTCCAGATATTTCTGTAAGCTGCCATTTCCTGACTGAGCATACATTCACATTTATCCTCCATGAGCAGGGCGTCTATTCTTCAGTCTTCTACAGAACTCTTCTCAGAATTCCTTTTTCTTTAACTATCATGTTTTGTTTTCCCCACCCTTCTAGATATTTTCAAAGCCACCATTTCTTTTCTGAATACAAATAGGACACTTCGTTAAAATGAAGAAGGACAAATTTTCCCCCACATTAGAATTCGTGACCGAATTCTTTTTTTTTTTTTTTAGGCCACCTCCTGTGGAGGTCAGTTATTGAGAAATAGTATACAGATTCTAAGAATTTTACCAAGGTCAAATGATTTTCTGGTGCTAAGTGAAGAAAAATTGGAAATACTTTTCTATATTTTGAATATTACTCTGCAAATATACTATGTTAAGTGCTTTAAAATACATGTGTTCATTTACTATTCACAACAACTGTATAAACATTTTGTACCATTTTATTTATTGAGAAAACAGAGGCTTAGATGATTTAGTGGGTTGCTTGTTATCACACAATGTCAAAATTCTCATGCTTATGTATTAATGATTTTATTAGTTTTGTATTCTGGATTTTGGTTATAATTTCTGTATCTCACTTATTTTGGAATTATACACAGATCTCCTTTGCTCTCTGAATTTCCATGGTTCCTGTTGCATTTTCATCTGGTTATGGCTTTTTTATTGACTTTTAAAAGTATTAAGAAACAGATTCTTAGATCAAATCACCCACTTATGTCCATGGAAATTTGCTATTTGGGGATCTGCATGAGATTTTAATATTCACAAACCCAGGAAAATTACAAGGAATAATACAGAATTCTTGCCATGTCCAGCTATACCACAAGTGAACTGCCTTATAGAGCTAGTCTAGTATACCAATATGACAATGATACATGTTAATTAATAAAGCAAATAAATCTAGGACTAATTACATCATCAATTGTATTGATATTTTATAAAGAATGATTCAGTTTTCAATTTCTGCCTAACAAATTAACAAAAATTAAGTGGATCACTGATATTCAAAGTAGTATTATTTAAAACAATAAATTATTGCAATTAAGTATACTATGTTTCAGATAAATACACTGAAAACATTATTTGTCACTACTTTAATTTCTACTAATCTATTCAGAAAAATAAATTTCAAAGAAGGGAAAATTATTTACAGAAAAAATAATCTTCATGGCCCTCTGAATTCCATGCTATTTCTTTCTCCACTTCTCTTATTTCCAGCTACTACAGTATGATTTTCAGTGATTAATTCTACCTAATGTTGCCACTGCAATCTATTTTCCCAGTATAGTGGGCAGGTTCAATCCACACCTTCCCTGAATTCACTGGTTCCATTTCTAAGGAGTTTATTTTCTTAATTACACTTTTCCACCCTTCTCTCTTGATATTCTTCTAATGTGAGGATCTTTACCTGTTTGCTTTGTGGCCCTTCTCTCCCCTCCTTTTAAAGACAGTTGGTCCTCAGAACCAAGTTAAGTCTCTTTCTCCCTCTACAATCTCTTCCCACATATCTACCTCCACATCTGGACTCTAATCACTCTGTTTGATGCTCTAGCAACTTTATTCCTTATAAACTGCAAACTCACAATCCAACTAAAAATTTCACACATAAAGCTCTACAATCCACTCATAGAGGATATTTTTGCTTTCATTTTTGAGTCCTCAAATGCCACAATCTGCATTTTACTGAAAGCTTTTTGTGGGGTTCTCCTTCTTTCTGTTGAACAAGTTAACAGCTGATATTAACTAAGTATGATAGATATTTTTAGGTTTCTTTACCTTTGAAAATCAAAGATACAAGAAAGAAAGATCTGCATTAGGTTCAGCTCTATAGCCTGAGGTCAACATTCAACCTGTTTTAGAGAATATTTTGAAGTGTTGGATATCCTACCAAGGGCCTCAAGATGGTTAAGTAAGAACTCTTCTACTGAATTACATTCCCAACATGTGAGAACGTCAGTTTTTCTTTATAATTTCAACATAATAATAATGGATAAAGGAATTCCACCTTCCACTTTTTATAAGGTTGTGCAATAAAGTTTGGAGTTTCTTTTTTAAGCATAAACACACACAAGAAATTTTGATAGTAAAAGTTTAATGAACAAAGCAAAATAAGAAAGGGACTATTTATAAAGAACAAATTTTGCTATATTAACCACAATGTAAAAGTGCAAATAATATTATAATGTCAAAATAATTTAAATCTCATTTAAATACATATTTAAATAAGTATTTGATTGGTAAATAAATACATCTGCATGGTCCTCTGTAAGGGACTAGTGTCAGTAGAGTTGAACATTAGTTAACACATTTGAAAACATCTGACAAGTTCATTGAATTAATGTCACAATTACCACAGAAATTATAGTCTTTGAAATGTGAGTAGTTGTGGAATTTAGATACAGTGCATTAATCACTCGGAGTCATTTCCCTGTTGTGTCCAGTCTCATTCCTCATTCCTTAATCTTTCTTGCAAGTTTGTTGATAAAGAGAAGGCTCTCATGATTTCTGATCTGACAACCTCCCAGGCACAAGGACTGTATTTCTTCCCTTTCAGGTAGAGAGCTATCCTTTGGAAGTATTTCTTCACAGCCAGTGTGGAGTTCTCATGTATCAGGGAAGGTTCTTCCTCCCCCACCTCGTGTGTCAGACAGGCTTCCAGGTCTTTCAGCTGTTGAGAAAGGCCAGTGCAGAATTTGTGCAGAAGGGTCTTTGCCCAAGCAGCAGAGGAGTCCTTTGTGCTGAAGAGGTTGTAGATCTGCTTGGTCATCTCATGGAGGACAGAGATAGCTTGAATCTTCTTGTCCTGCTTTCCAACAAACTCCTTCTGGGGAAGTCCAAAGTCATTTCTATCCTTCATGCAGGAGAAAGGAGAGATTCTCCTCATTTGTCCCAGGAGTATCAAAGCCCTCCTGCTACCAAGGGTATGAGTTTGAGGCAGGTCACAGTCCAGGGAACACTCTGACTTGCATCTGAGCACCACCAGGGCCATTAGTAAAGCAAAGGACAGGGCCATTGGGGATGTTGCAGATGCTGCTGGTCTGGCTGATCCTGAACCTTTGCCTCTAGGTTCTCTAAAGACCTCATGTGCTCATTTGTCTCAAGTAGGAAACATTGGAGGTTCCATTTTCTGAATGCCCTCCCCTTACTTTCCACTTCTCTTTTTGCTTTTCTTTGTGCTTTCACTACTTAAGTTGAGTGGCATTTCCAACCATTTTCTTTTCATTATTACCCTCCCTGACTGTGCCACCAAGCCTTGTTAGGTAATTTTCTTATTTGACCTCTGACTAAAATTCAACCACACAGATGTAAAGTAACATTCTTAGGTATTGTACTTATATTTTTACTTTATACATTAAAAATAGCTGGCGCAAGTGGTTCATGCCTGTAATCTTATCTACTCAGGAGGTAGAGATCAGGAGAATCATGGTTTGATGCCAGCCTAGGCAATAATTTTGCAAGACCTGATCTAAAAAAAAAAATCCATCACTGCAAAAATGCTGATGGAATGGTTCAAGGTGTAGGCTCTGAGTTCAAGTCCCCTTACTGCTAAATAAATAAATAAATAAATAATCAAATAAATGAAGAGAAGTTGATGAACTTAGGTTTTAATTAAATTTAGGGTAAAGAATGATTAACCTTAAACTTGAGTTTACAAAAGTAAGTTGTGCTTTTATTTAATTTTATTTCTGTATAAATTAGGATTTATTTTCCTATAAATTACTTATTGACTTAATGTAATATATGTAATTATATACATTACAATGAATTTCATTGCATATGCCAGTATATAATTTTATAAAATATAAAATACCACTAAAGAAATCCTTAAGTAGATTTCAAAAGTGCTATAAACTATTGAAAGTAGAAATTATTTTCTTAACATAGAGTAGGGAACATTCTGAAGCACTTAGGATCAAGCAACACACCCAAGATAGCCAATAAGAGTTGAATGTTCCTGCAGTTAGAGATTGAGCATGTTATGGAGAGAATGTCCTATTGTTATCACCTACTTTTTAAGGTTTGTAGCACTGATCTTGTATACACTTTGTGTGTCTTTTATGAATTCAATATCAGTTATACTCAGGGATACACAGGGAAACTCAGGAAAAGAAAATAAATGCTAAGGAGTAAAATTTTGTTAGAGATCAGTTTTGGAACAGATATATGAGTTTTGGATTTTGTGACATATGGGATGTTTTCTTACTCTTACAAACTAATTTTCCGTACAATTGAGCTATATCACACCTGATGAGAATACAAGATTGAGAAAAACTCGCTTTGATTTTTTTAAAAAAATTGCATCAGAATTTGCATTTTCCAAAATATGTCTAGTGATACCAATTCTAGTTAATCTTATTAAATAAAAGAAAACTTTTTGTCCTAATATTTAAAAATGTGATATAAATACAAGGAAACGAAAGGACTGTACAATTTTCCTTTACAGAATGCAATACAGTAGCTATCCTTTTTTCTCATTCATTTTCTTAGGAAACCAAAGTTGTTACTTTTTGTATCCCAGTGACTAGAGACAAAAAAGAAAAACAAGTATGTCTAGATGTCATGAAAAATGAAAAAAATGAAGCCATATCCTATTGGGATGGGATATAAATTGGCTATGTTCATCCCAGCAAGACAGATTAAATGATGAGATAAAGACAATCTGGCAATATGGCTGAAGGAATATAAATAAAGATCACAAGAGACATGGTCTTTTAGTAAATAACATTTTGAAAAATCTTCCCTATAAAAATTAAATTTAAAACTTTGGAATCTGCATTTAGCTCTCAAGAATTAAAATAGTTGACTAAGTTATAGATCATAACATTATTCAAGAACATAAATCATTACCAATGTTTACTTTATGAAGTGTCTTAAAGCATTCTCAGTATAAAGCATTATAGAAAGTATTATTTTCATTCCAATTACTCATATAATAGCTAGAACACATTCAGCTACAGTTTAAAATAAGGAAAAAAAACCACTCATCGGTATATTTCACAAGTAAATGGTAATTAGGTGGCAAATAAGATTTAATAAAATAAAATATTTTTCTATTGTAAATAAAAATAATATTTGTGCTTGATAATTTAAACATAATAAGCACACTATGCTATTATTTTTTAATTTCTTTATATCTTTTTTCATTTTTATTGGTATACATTAATTATAAAGGGGGGGATTCCTTGTGCCAATTCTGAATAGTCTTACATTGGTTCATTAGCATACTTTTACTTTAAGTGTAATAAATTTACTTAGAAATTGTGATTTTTTTTATGAATTATATTTTACTCATAATTTAGTGACTTTTAATGCAGTATCTGTACTTATGTACATTATAATAACTCACATTATTATGCAATTTAAAATTTATAAAATATGTGTTGCAGTGTAAAGACACCCATAAATTTTTCAAAACTCATAAAAATATTTATTTTTAATATTAAAATATTTTAATATTAAAATTATATTATATTTATTATATTATATTATAATTATTATAATATAATTATTATATTAATATTATATTAATATTATATTAATATTATATTATATTGATATTATTATATTATTATATTATATAATTTTTATTATATAATATTATATAATTATTATATAATAATATTAATATTATTATATTATATAATTATATAATATAATATAATAATTATATTAATATATTAATATTATATTAATATTATATTATATTAATATATTATATTATAATATTAAAATTATATTTTAATATTAAAAATATTTTAATATTAAAATATTAAAATAAATAAAAAAAATTTATTCTTAATATAAAAACTCTTCAATTTTGCTTCACATGAGAAAATAATTTTTAACTTCACTGGCTGATAGATATCAAACAAAATCAATTGACATAATTAATGTATTGAATAACTTTACTAGAAGAAAATAAAAAATACAATAATTTGTGTTTAACTCCCATAGACCACATCCTATTGGAAAGCAATGAAGTTCAAACATAAACAACTCATATAATATAGCATGAACTGTGATCAAACATGTAATGAAGAGAAAGACTTCATCCATCAGCCCTGTAAGTCATAGTCATTTATTGTCTATAGGTTTATAGCACAAATGTTACATATATTTTTCTGCATATTCCATAAATTCAATGTCAGTACTTCTCTAGGGATACAAAAGGAAAACCAAGAAAAGGAAATAGACACTAAAAAATTTTTTCAGTAGAATTCAGCTTTGGAGGGTCATAAAACTATGCAATATCTAAGATTTGTTCATATCCCCCAACTAATTGAGAGGTATATCATTCCCAGTCAGAATACAAGATTGAGAAAATATGAGTTTGAATTTTAAAGAAAAATTTTTGCATTAGAATTCAAATTTCCCAAAGGGATTTAAGTGCTAGGTAGCTATTACAAAAGGACAGTTTTGAACTTTTTGTGAACTAATGTGTATAATTGAATATAAATATAATAAAGCTAAATGGAGTATAAAATTTCCCTGAATAACATGCAATATAGAACATAGCCCCCCTTCTCATTTTTACTTTCATAGAAAGCAAAAGTTTTCACTTTTTGCATTGCAATGACTGAGGACAAAGAAAACAAAATAATGACTAAATGTGATAAAAATGAAAGAAGGGAAGCGATATCCTACTGGGGTTTCCTAACTTTGCTAAATGGATAGTTTCTTCAAGTTTGTTTTTCAAATGTTTTAAGTATGAGATGAAAATGAATGGCCTGGTTAAAAAGGAAGACTCACATGCCACTTTTGTTTCATGATCCTCAAGGCCCTGCAGTGAACTTCCTATTTATCCTCTCCTCCTTTTCTCAGGTCATAAGAAACAACTTCAAATTTACAATGAGATCCAAGACCTTATTCCCATCCTCTTGGCCACTTTTTAACTTTAACTATGCATTTGGAAATCAACTTAAATGTTTCCTTAAAGAGTCAATGATGCTGTGAACTTTAATGAATGATATCTTACTTGAGTTTGAATTATTGAATTAGTAGTGTATCTGCAGCCAAAAAATGGTTAATTTTCTTCATTAAACATCGTTATAAATAAGTAAAAATGAGTAATGTTCTCATTCAAAGAACTTGTCTTTTGTTCCTGTCAGTCACACAAATAGAATTCCTACCTCACCATCTTTACCTAGGTATCATATGAGAATAAATTCAGGCCATTTTAATATGAATGACAGTGATTTTTTTCCCTTTGACCTTAAATATTCTACCATGTGATTCAACATACATTTCCCCCTTTGCAACCGAGCAGAATAGTCTCAAGCAGCACAGCCACATTTGTTGTTACATATTGAAGATGGGAAGCTGAAAAGTATATGTGCCAGGTACTTGAAACATTAGGAAGTGGGCTATCCAAGAAATCATCTGATTATGAGTCCCTGCTTTGGGTTTGTGAATGAAGAAAAGACAAATTTGCATTATGATCCAATTACTGGTAGCTTTTAAATCTGTTACAGAAGCTAGCATCAAATATCTGACAAATGTCTTTACACATACTGACATGAAGAATTTCTCCAATAAAATATTCAATTTTAAAATTTTAGAACTGCAAATACCTCTCAAGAACTGAAACAACTAAAATTATAAATCAAAACATTAATTATTTAAAAAAGCAAACCATGTTCTGCTCTCTAAATGTTTTACAAACTCATAATGCATCATGTACAACATGCTTTAAAAATAATCTCATGATTTTGGTTTCAAATATTTTTCAACTGCTGCAAAATCTGAGTTGAGATTTCTTTTTTTGGCTTAGAAAATTAAGTAATTGCTTTGAGGGAGTCATGACTATCTCTTTCTTCTTTACTTACTGACTTTTTTGGAGGATTCTGACGTTGCAAAGACTCATTTCTGCTACATTTGTGACATGACTTCCATCGATATGTCAGATGTCTTCAGTGATATTAGCAACCTGTGTTCAGCTCTCAGGACACTTTTCCCTTTTACCCATGCAAATTATCTATTCATTTATTTAAGGTTTTTAAAAAACTATTTGTA